CTTTCCAAGGCATCTTTGATTTTATCGATCACCTTCTCGAACTGGGGGCACCTCTTTTCTGACACTTCCACAATGAGGCGAAGCTTTCCCAAGCTTACTGTGGAGCCAGTGAGATATGCCCTCTTGGGGCTGGAGGCAACTATCTTCTTTATCCTCATCCATGGCAGCCTGCCGCCTTTTGCCTTTTTCAAGTTGCTATCCTTTTCCAAGGCAGCGGGCCTCAGCCTTGGCTACAGTTGCCCCACCGAAGCCGAGGCTGTCCTGCAGATCTTTTGCTTCCAGATGAGCAACTCTGCTCCCTGCAGCTCTGGCCCTGGACACTAACGCAGGGCTTTCCAGCCCTGGTTTTTTGGCTTGAAGAGCAGGCAGATTCGGAAGAGGCCAGCTGCTCCTCCTTTCGACTTGCAGCCTTTTCCAAGGCTGCAGCCGCCTTCTTGTGGCCCTTCACACTGGCAGCCGTTTCCAAGGCTGCAGCCGCCATCTTGTGGCCCTTCACACTGGCAGCCCTTTCCAAGGCTGCAGCCGCCTTCTTGTCGCCCTTCGCACTTGCAGCCTTTTCCAAGGCTGCAGCCCGCTTCTCGAAGGGACTGTCAAACAAGGAGGGGAAGCCCTGTAAATTCAGGGTCACGTCACTGTCTTCCTTCTTCAGTCTCTTCGCTGCTGGCTCCTTTTCCAAGGAGATTGCCTGCTGTCCGGGCTTTCCCAAGGCTGCCCCTTCCGAAGACTCGAAGCTCTTCTCGCGTCAGCCTGGCAGCAGCAACCTGAAGACTCCCATCTCTCTTGATTTTTCGGAGATGGGCCAGAAGACAAGTGACTCTTTCAACTCTCAGGCTGGTCCACACTTGCCCAGTGAAGGAGGTCTTATTGATATGCTCGTTGTCTGCCAGAATGCTGAGCAAGGCTATCTTGAGAGGCTGAGAGTGGATTTCTCCTGACGGCTCCACCCGTAGCTCTGCCAGGCTGACCAGTCCCTTATAGTCAGGGCCATTCCCTGTACTTAAAACCTCATACGGGCCCATGTCAACTAGCAGACCTGCGTGGGCTGCCATAATCTTGTAGAGCAAGCCAGAGTCTGGCATTGGCTTGCTCTGGCGCCCCATGGGCTTCCCAGAGCAAGGAACTTTCCCAAGTTCCCAAGCTTTCCAAGCCCTCAAGCTTTTCCAAGCTTGCCTACACGCGAGCCTACTATGGGAGCTAGGTAGCGGCTGTGTGTGTGCGTGTGTGTCACTGAAGTGCTCCAAATGGATTCTGCTGTGTGCCCCGTGCAAGTCCATGCTTTGCGCTGCGAGCCACTCAAGACATGCAAAGCAAATGGCCACTGAGGAGCTTAGTGTGGAGACGGAAGTCAGCTCTACGGTGCTGGAGGGCCTCACAGATACCCCCCGAGCATGGCGGAAGTCATGGCTGCCATTTCGCAGCTCAAAAAAGGTAAAGCGCACGGAGCTGACGGAGTGCAGCCCGAGCTGCTGATGGGACTTGACTTGTGCAACACGCGGGTACTCACGGAAATGCTGTGTCAAGTGTGGGAGGGGCTGCGGCCCATGCCCGCCGAGCGGAGGGCTAATTACTTGGTTCCCATTCCAAAATTTAAAAAAAGGTGATCTCACGGAATGTGGCCAGTGGCGAGGGATACTTCTTTCCTCAGTACCCGGCAAGATTTGAGCTGCTGCCCGAGACACAGTGTGGGTTCAGGGCGGGACGAGGCACTACCGACATGATCTTTACTCTACGCGTGGCGTTGGAGATCGCTCGGGTGAAGTCGCACCCCTTGTATGTCCTGTTTGTTGATTTAGCAAAAGCTTACGATTCGGTGAGTCGCGGGGGGCTCTGGACGATTTTGCACAAAAAAGGGGTGCCCAACAAGCTTGTCGCGCTGATCCAAGACTTTTACACGGGAAAAGAGGCAAAAGTCAGTGTGGAAGGGGTTCTATCTGCGGGCATCGCGCTTAACACGGGACTAGGGCAGGGCTGTTGTCTTGCTCCCACTTTGTTCGGATCTTTTGGTTGCATCGCGCGCAGTTGTGGAGGATATCTCCTAGGAGTTGGAACGGTAGTTGAGTCTCCAAGACAGTGAGCCGTTCCCTGAGCATCCGATTTTGATTAGAATCAATTAGCAAGCCTTCTGAGATTTTGATTTTTCACGCAACGTTGAAAATCAAAAGGCAACTTTCTGTGAAATATTGATTCCAATTTTGATCCCGCAATTGATTCCCTAATTGATTCCAGATTCCACTTTTGATCCCGCAATTGATTCCCAAATTGATTTCCTAATTGATTCTCTAATATCTCATCATCCGCCCAACACGACCCTTGCTTCTGGATCACTCGGGACTGCACCTTCACACCTAAGCCACGGCGGGATCCAGATCATTGCAATTTTCTCCAAATTGCCTTCTTGATCTGCAGTGAGCACAAGCTCATCCGGGAGCTGCCGACGCTGTGATAGATCGACGCTCTTCAACCTCATGTTGAGCTAGAACGAGGCTAGCGACTGTGCTCCTAACAGTGACTCATTTGGGCCACTCCACTTCTCGGATGTCTTGCACGAGGCCTCTCTGACTAATACTCTGGCACTTCTCTTGGGTCCGGCGCATGCAACCCAGCCAATGCACCTCACCTAGGGCGCGTATTGCTGCCCCACCGCATGTTCAGGGTTAGCTGGAACAATCTGCGTGCCCTCCGTCTTCCATGCTCATGCTGCTTGGACCTGCTCCAACTGCCCCAAGGCAAACCCAGCCTTCTGACACCTGCGTGCACCTTCGTAGCACTGATGGGCCCACGAATGGAGAGCCGTTGGCACGGGCCGATCTCCACACGCTGCCGGCTGCGAGACATCCCCTGCAATGTCATCAAACAATCTGACCTCATTCTGTGTGAGCTCAAGCTGCTGGAGCTCAGCCGGATTCTACTTGCCAACGTGAGGGGTGACCAACTTTGGGATTCGGAATTGCTCACAAATCGGCAAGTCCGGCATATCCGCTGGACAAATCCATGGCTTGCAGATGATGCACCACCACCGCTCCCTGTTGCTGCACCAAGCCCGGTTGAGCTGCAGAATCTTTTGAAAGATCCTCATTCATACTCCGTGATGCTGTGCCCACGCTGATGCACGAGCTTGGGGAATACACTCAAGCACAGTCAACTGGGCAGTCGTGAAATCGATTGTCTTAAAAACTAGACCACGGTTGGCCCGAAAGCATAGCATCGCAAGCGAGGTCGGCCCAACGCTGCAGGATGCGTTCTTTTTCCCTCCACGAAGCATTTGTGAAGCAAGCGCGAGACAGCACCAGGCAAGGTGCTCTGCGCAAACTGGTCGGTGCAAGTTGGTCTGCGCAAGTTGCTCTACGCAAGTTGCACTGTGCAAGTTGCTCTGCGCAAGTTGCTCCGCGCAAGTTGCTCCGGCAAGTTGGTCCCTGCAAGTGGCTCCCTGCAAGTTGCTCTGTGCAAATTGCGCTCCCTGCAAGTTGCTCTGTGCAAGCTGCTCTGTGCAAGTTGCTCTGTGCAAGTTGCTCTGCGTAAGTTGCTCTGCGCAAGTTGCTCTAGGCAAGGCGCTCTGCGCAAACTGGTCGGTGCAAGTTGGTCTGCGCAAGTTGCTCTGTGCAACTTGCTCTGCGCAAGTTGCTCTGCGCAAGTTGCTTTAAAATGCAAGTTGCATCTTGCGACGCCCGCCCGCGGACCAGGGAGGAATCGAACCTTCCGGGAGCAGGCGCGCGAACCACGAGACAACTCCCGAGGACCAGTTCGAACAACAAAAATCGCAAAAAACCATGGGTTTTTGCACCTCGACCACGCCGATCCCCGCAGAGGGTCGCGCGGGCGCCGCAGAAATCGCAAAAAAACCATGGGTTTTTGCACCTCGACCACGCCGATCCCCGCAGAGGGTCGCGCGGGAGCTGTAGAAATCGCAAAAAACCATGGGTTTTTGCACCTCGACCACGCCAATCCCCGCAGAGGGTCGCGCGAGCACCGCAGAAATCGCAAAAAACCATGGGTTTTTGCACCTCGACCACGCCGATCCCCGCAGAGGGTCGCGCGAGCACCGCAGAAATCGCAAAAAAACCATGGGTTTTTGCACCTCGACCACGCCGATCCCCGCAGAGGGTCGATTTTCGTGTAGTGTCGTCGGCACTACCCCGCCGCCCTAAGAAGAGATTTTAACTCCTCGCAAGTCAATTGCACTTGACTCCTTGCACTTGCAACTTGCACTTGACTCCTTGCACTTGCAACTGGCACTTGACTCCATGCACTTGCAACTTGCACCTGACTCCTTGCACTTGCAACTTGCACTTGACTTCTTGCACTTGCAACTTGCACTTGACTCCGTGCGCAGCTCGCAATGACTCTCATGACTCCTTGCAATGACTCCTTGCAATGACTCCTTGCAATGACTCCTTGCATTGACTTTCATGATGATGATTCCTTGCAATGACACCTTGTAATGACTCTCATGAGAACAACTCAAGTGAACCCAGCGGAAGAACCCTTCGCCATGCTTTCGGGAAATTCGGCCATCCGCAAAGACAAAAAACAATAGCGTCAAACACCGACTACGACCAAGTCGAGACACCTTGTTTGGTGGGGGGGGGCTAGTTGAATAGGTCTTTTTGATAGCTACCTCAGTGGCTCTACAAAGGCAAGGGCCAAACACAATCCGAGTTTTCGCATGGCCACTTGGCAACTCTGCAACTCGGCAAAATGGTTGACTCACCTTGCAAACATGGTTTGGAAACCATTCTTTACGTGATGCAAAGTGAGCGCTTTCCATGAGAAGAATCTTGTCAGGAAGGGAAGCATCAATGAAGTGGTCACTAATTGAACATTTGGGCACTGTTCAGGCGCATGCACCAAACTGGCACGCTAGCCCAGTCTGGCTGAGGCGCCCAAGGAAAGCAAAAGTCACATGCTAATTAAGCGAATTTTCAGGTGACTTTGAGATTGAACCGTGGGTCCATGCAACTGTATCTTGCAGAGCTTGGGAGATGAGAAAGATGGACTCCGAGGCCTGGAGGGCCGAGTGCCGATTGTGGAGACGCCGGTGAACCCGCGCGGCCGCACCAGCTATCCCCGCACTTTTTCGACTGAGCAGGCCACGGAGTAAGAGACGGAGGGCGGTTTGACGAAGACATCACCTTTGAGCGATGGAAAAACAGCCGGCGTGCTGGGCAAAGCTACCTGACGGTGAGGCTTTGCGATTTGGATACGAATGTAAAGCAACGCCGCAATTCAATAGTAAGCAGACTGTTCCCACAAGATGTGACACATGAGGAACGCGGGATGCCTCTGGTAGCGACGGCTGGAGGTGCGTGTAAGTGTAGTTCTGTGTGTGAGTGTGCGTAGATGTGTCTTGAAGCAGCGCCACATTCGCTTTGCGCAGTGAGAACTGGCACATCCGCTTTCCTTGTGGGCCCACACTGCCAGCACGCAGTTCTCGGTCTTCCGGTCACGCGTGTCTTAAATTCGCAAGTACACCTTTTCAAGGAGTTTGTCAAGCCTGACATTGATACTTTGGTTACTTCTATGCCCAGCATGGCTATCCAGAGTCGTATTTGAGACAGTTGCTGCAAATAAGGCTCCTTTTGTTCACTTGCAACACGTGAAGTTTTGCGTGCTGGTGAACCTGTCCCAATGGCAAGCGAAGTTTCCACCTCTCGGGGGCCGCCTCCGGCCAACGAAGCCACCCCTTGGTGCTCGGGCGCAAACGTACCGCCTCGGCTATGGCTATGGCAGCTGGCGGGCTTCCCACATAAAGGTCCCTTTCTGCCCCCCTGATAGACCACCGAGGACTTGATCATTTGTCGGAGCGTTTGACCGTTTGAGGTTTGATTTCCCATGCGTAGGCGTGTTGAGTTATGTGTTCGTAGGTGTGTGTGTGTGTGTCTCTGTGTGTCTCTGTGTGTCTCTGTGTATCTCCGTGTGTCTCTGTGTGTCTCTGTGTATCTCCGTGTGTCTCTGTGTGTCTCTGCGTGTCTCTGTGTGTCTCTGTGTGTCTCTGTGTGTCTCTCTGTGTCTCTCTGTGTCTCTCTGTGTCTCTCTGTGTCTCTCTGTGTCTCTCTGTGTCTCTCTGTGTCTCTCTGTGTCTCTCTGTGTCTCTCTGTGTCTCTCTGTGTCTCTCTGTGTCTCTCTGTGTCTCTCTGTGTCTCTCTGTGTCTCTCTGTGTCTCTCTGTGTCTCTCTGTGTCTCTGTGTGTCTCTGTGTCTCTGTCTCTGTGTGTCTCTGTGTGTCTCTGTGTGTCTCTGTGTGTCTCTGTGTGTCTCTGTGTGTCTCTGTGTGTCTCTGTGTTTCTGTGTGTCTCTGTGTGTGTGTCTGTCTGTGTGTGTGTCGGAAGTCTGGACACACGTCCTCTGGATTTTGCGGGCCTTTTGCGGGCCTTCTCCGGGTTTGCGTGCTCCCCGAACCTCTGCGTGCTGGCCCATTTTTATGTTTCTAAACAAGCAAAAAGCTAATGAAAAGCCTATGGGCTAAAATGAGGTACCTTACAGTAAAAACGCACATCGGCTTTCCTCCACAATTATCGTGCCTTCTCAGTTTTTTTTCTGGGGGCGGTTCCCCCCCAGCCGGTTCTGCGTCGGCCTGATCGGATCCCCTGTTTGATTTCTTGGGGATCCTAGCTGGTGTTTGACCACAGGGGAAACAACAGGGTTCCATTTCCAGCTGCCATTGCTTGTGAAACAGCGCCAAAAGAGAAAGAGTACCCAGCGCGTTGAACCTTTGTGTGAGGGGGGGACAGCTGGGAAAGCAATAATCAAGTAAATTCATGTCTGTGTATAGCGTCCTTTAGCGGTTCCAAGCATTGAGAAGACATGGACCCCTGGAGATGGGGTCCACACCCTGGTGTGTGTTTTTGTGTGTGGTGTGTGTGTGGTGTGGTGTGGTGTGGTGTGTGGTGTGTGGTGTGTGGTGTGTGGTGTGTGGCGTGTGGTGTGTGGGTGTGTGGGTGTGTGGGTGTGCGGGTGTGCGGGTGTGCGGGTGTGCGGGTGCGCGGGTGCGCGGGTGTGCGGGTGTGCGTGTGCGTGTGCGTGTGTGTGTGTGTGTGCGTGCGTGCGTGCGTGCGTGTGTGTGTGTTGTCTGTGTGTGTGTGTTTGTGTGTGTTTGTGCTTGTGTGTGTGTGTTTGTGCTTGTGTGTGTGTGTGTTTGTGTTTGTGTTTGTGTGTTTGTGTTTGTGTGTGTGTTTTGTGTGTTTGTGTGTTTGTGTGTTTGTGTGTTTGTGTGTTTGTGTGTTTGCGTGTGTGTCTGTGTGTCTGTGTGTTGGTGTACATAAGCGACGCGTGCGCATGCTTGCTTGTGTTTTTGTTTGTGAAAAGGCGCGCGCGCGTTTGTGTGTGTGTGTGTGTGCGTGTCTCTATGCGAGCTCGTGCTGTGTGCGTGTGTGTGTGTGCGTGCATGCGTGTGTTTGTGTGTGTGTGTTTGTGTGTGTGTGGGTGTGTGTGTATGTGTGTTTGTGTGTGTGTGTGTGTTTGTGTGTGTGTGTTTGTGTGTGTGTGTTCGTGTGTGTTCGTGCTCGTGCTCGTGCTCGTGCTCGTGCTCGTGCTCGTGTTCGTGTTCGTGTTCGTGTTGGTGTCCGTGTGTGTGTGTGTGCGTTTGCTTGTGTCGATTTGTTTGTTTGACTGTTTTTTGATGGTTTGTTTGTGTTTGTTTTTGTTTGTTTGCGTGTCTGCTGTTTGTTTGTTTGTTTGCTTGTGTGGTTGCTTGTGTGTTTGTTTGTTTGGTCGTTTGCTTGCTTGCTTGCTTGCTTGCTTGCTTGTTTGCTTGCTTGCTTGCTTGCTTGCTTGCTTGCTTGCTTGCTTGCTTTGCAAGTTTGCTTGCTGGCTGGCTTTTTTTGTTTGTTGGTGGGTTGCTGGCTGTTTATTTCACGGCGTGGTTCCGTGTTTGCTTGGTTGGTGGTTTTTGTAGTCACTTGATTCATCGTTGGTGCGAGCCTGGGCCTTGTGACCCTTTGGAAAATGGCGCTTTCCAAGCATCCGTAAGTTAAACTGTCTATCAGGGGCCCTGTTTTGGAAACTCATGCCGGATGAGCGGCTTGTTTGTCTTGGCGCGCCGAAGTTGTTTTGCGGTTAGAAGCTGTGCCTGGAAAGCGTCGATTGTCGTTAGCGCGCTCCAGACTCCCAGAGCGGACCAGAAGTATGTGAAGATCTACAAGTACAAGTGTCCCTGGGGCAGGGTTGGGCAAATTTTCAGGACGAAGCCAGTGGAGGGAAATGGTTGTTTCAACAACAGTTAACAGTTGTTTGAACCATGTGTTAACTGGCTGGTTTTTGAGGAAACATCGCAAATCAGCAGGAATCGGTTCTGGGACAGTTTTGATCGGCTGAGGTTTCCGTGCACCAGGGCTGGATCCTGAGCTCTGAATGGTCCGAAGTTTCCCGAGCAAAGGGGTAGCGGCTTGTGGGTGTGGTTCGGTTTTTGGAGGGTCTGTACCGTCTCAAATGTTTCTCAAGGCACACCGGCAAACCAGAAGGAAAACCGATGCCAGTTTGGGGGTCCAGCATTTTGAGCCCCACATGAGGCTATCGATTTCCTCAAGTGACCATCTCCAAAAAATCCACTTGGAAGTCATTCTAGTCTCTGCGGATGTTTCAGGCTCCATGCTGCGGTGTGAAGCCAAGTGAAACGATTTTCTATGACTTGTTTGCCTGTTCGGCAGCCAAGGCCGAGATTTCTGTGAGCCTTGTGTTGTCCAATGGTTCAGGAATCCCGGGCGCAACCTTGTGGCAAATCGGGGTTGCTTGAGAACCAGTTGACAGTGAGACACGTAATTGTAGGTACCCCTGCAAGACTGGTGTCGTTGCCAAAACCATATGCGGGCGGTATCCCATTTTTGTGTAAGGGATCATGCAAACCCTCCAGGTACAGAATTTCAAAGGACGCTAATCCCCATGTTGGAGACACCCAACCCCCCCCACCCACCATTTGAGACCAAACACATCGTGATCCATATCTGGCAGGTACAGCTCCTTCAAGTTCGATGCGTCCATTCTGAATGAGGCGATGCAATTTGAACGGACGATATCGCTGCGGCCCCCACATCGGTTTTGCGGGTTGGTGGGTATCGGTTTTGGGTGGTGCCGCAACAGTTTCCGGTGGTAAAACTGTCCGCTGCTTATTTGATTGTCCCCAGCGGGTTTCCACATTGGGCCGGGCCCCTGTCTCATTCACAGGCCGCCCCCCGTTCGGGCCCAGCTACATGGTCATTATTTCTAGGTGATTTAAAGCGACCTCAGCGACGTCACTTCGAAATAACGACCTGGTGCTTGAAAATATACAAGCGGGCATTGCAGTGGTTCATTGTTCTTTTCCCAGCCTTGCAAAAAACAGTTGATCATCAACTGGTAAATAACCATAGCAATCTCAGTGAAAACGATTTTTCAGAAAGCAGCCCTATTTTCACAAACTGGGTTTTGTATTTTGGACACCATCTAAAAGAAGCGAGCGCCAAGAGTCGGCAGAAGGGACGAGTTGAACCCCCACATGGTGGTCACAGACGTTCCGGGGCGAGCGTAATGCCACTACACCAGGATGTGATGACATTTGAGGGCCTCTTTTGGGCAATTTGGCCGATCGTTGGGTTCAGCTGCAAATTAGAGAATGCCCTATTTCGCAAAAACAGGTTCCTTGCAGTGCATGGTTCCTTTGGTGCTTTCATATGTTGATTTGCTTGAAAGCTTGATCCCCGGTGCATGGTCAACCCAGAAGAAAGAAACCTTTTCTTTGGTGCATTTTGCTTGGCTGTTAGGACTTTAACTTTTTGCCGACTCATGGCGCCCATTGCTCGGTACGCGCTGCGCCCCCCCCCTCCCCATCTCCAAACCAAGCACAAACCGATTCCAACAAAATTTGCCCGCGATAGAAACCCCCTATTTTGCAAAAATAGATCCTTACGCCGTCTCCCACCAATCAGACAGGAAACGAACAAATTTCTTGGGAACGCGGTTCCTGCCTCGTAAGCCAGGCAGCAGCCTTGCCTTGTCCCCATGAGCCCCCGCAGCGATAGAAATTTGCTTGCAGGAGCAGACCCTCACCCCTCGTGTGGGCTACAGCGTATGGCTCTTTTCGACGAAAGAAAATACAAAAAGATCACAGAGAGCACCAGCGCAGCATGTTGCAACCTGCAAAGGCTTCGCTGCCGCCTCCATCCGGTCGTCGGTGACGGGAGTGTGTGTTGCTTGTGGAGCAGGTTGAATCAATCCTATTTTAATGAGATAGGCTGCTTTTCAGGTTCCTATTTTTTTGAGTGTTGAGATGACAACTTCCAACCTCCAACCAGTTTTTTTTAAATCCATTTGCGTTTGGTTTCTGGGGCAGTGGGCCCATTTCAGCGAAATAGGCTGCTTCTTCACCAACATTTTTCAAGACTGGGTTTGTAAACCCTGGTTCTTCGCACGAAGAATGGTTTGACAAACTAGGCTCGTTTGGGATCAATCGGGGTTTCCGCGTTTCCGTTGCGCGGGGCAACGGCACTTATTTCCATATTTTAAATCGACGTCACCATTTTGCTTCCGTGAAATAACGAAAATATCTCACGACCTACGAATTATTGTAATTTGCCTAGATTATTTTGTTTGGTTATCACAATCAGCCGCTGGCTATCCTGTTTTCCAGTCGCCTTTCACTTGGGTTGTTTTGCTTGACCCACGGCTGAAGCGGCGAACTTCCATGCGTATATATATATATATGTATTATGTATATTAGCATATATGTACATGGAGTGTGCTTTGTTCCCTTGCGACCAGACCCATTTTGATCCATCCAGGTGGTGACCATGGCCGGGGAGGCCGCGGGCAACCACTCCACGGTGGACGGCGCCTTTGTACACGCCCATGAGGCGGAGGACATTGCCTCGACGAAAAAATCAAAGCTGAAGAACCAAAGCAACAACTTTTCGCTGGGTTCCCAGCGAATCGTCCGGCTCAACTTCGCTTGTTTGAGTCGCTTTTAGTCGGTCTAGGGGGTATTCCGAAGTTGACTTTCTAAAAGTTGAATTTTTTAGTAGGGGATCTGAGGACAGCCCAGTTAGGGGAATCCTTCTTGGTGTTTCACGTGGCAGTTGAAGAACCATCATGTTTAAGCGCTGAATCCTCCTGTTGGGGCCTTTTTTGGGGGACCCGAACAAGTTGCGGGCTTCATCTTAACCTGAAGAGCATTGAAACGCTACAATTGCGTTGCCCAAAGCAAATCGACCCTTTGGCCTTGTGCTTTTGCATATTTAGTCAGGGTGCCCAAATCTTAAGCTTATTTCTGAGTTCCTTTGAGCAAGCGAGTTAAAACAGGCAGTTTAATCCATGCCGGGTACTGAGCAGGATCCGAACGATACACCGAATCGGTTTCGGAGCAAATCGGGCGGATCTTGCTTTCTCATACAAATCCGTCCAATTCTAGCCGAAAGGTGTCCGGCGTCACCCGTGAAGGTTCCGTTCCTTTTGTTCGGTTTGTTCATTCCCTGAGTTCATGAGCTTTAAACTTTGGGGAAGACCATTTTCAACATTAGTCGGTCAGTCCACTCAGTATAACTTACCCAGAACCACGCTGGGTGTTATCAGATCACCTGGCACGTGAAGACACCCTTTGAAACAGCTGGCAAAAGTGTTTTGTTTATTCGGCCACATTGTTTCCTTCGAGGAGCCTGCTAACTACTCGATAGCCCATGATGTCTAATGTTCCCAATGCAATTGGAACAATGGCATACATTCCCTCCAACTTGCATGGTCTATCCAGTCTATTTAGCAGTGAACCTTTGATTGCCATGTGACATGTTGCTTGCGTTGTTCTGGATTTGAAGCTCGCAACGGGAAACCACAAGGGCATGGTGGCATTCATTTTTGCAGCCCGCGTTTAGCACTCGGCATGGCTTGGACCATGTTGTCTCATTTCAATATGTTGTTGGTTTCCTTTCAGTCGTTGCTGGTCTGGTTTTGACATGTTTGCCACCAACCTTTCTAACAAAAGGGGCCAATCAATTGTACAAATTCCTATCTTTGGAGCTTTTCATGACTTATGTTGCCATTTCAAGTCCCCACCCCTGTCTTTCTGATAATTCAGGCCCCCAAAAGGTAGTGTTCCCGCTGGGATTGCTGAAGGCACTCCTTGTGGCATCAACAAACAAGTATGCTAGTTGTGCGCGTCCTTTGTTGGGAAAGCCCTTTGCCTATTTTGAAGGGAACCCTTTGAGACCGGTGTTTGAACTATAGACAAATGCACACTTGAAAACCGATAACGGTGATAGCGGACCGTTACAAACTGACGCTTCCTTCTGTTCGTTTGGACATGTCGTGATGGGACGCCAAATCATTCGGTGTTGAAGTGCTCAAGGGTTACATACCTTTTGTCAAGCGGCCAGAGGAGAAGTAATTTGAAGAAATGGGTTTGTCTCGACACTGCTTGGAACCTCCAAGATGGATTTCGGCTTTCCTTGGCTTCCCTTAGAACCCGACCAGGGGTTCCCCAAAAAGGGGAGACACCCAAATCTGCAAACCCAACAAATGGTGTGTTTTATCCTCTGGTCTCCCGGTCTCCCTTTAATACGCTGCCCTGCGAGAGTTGCACCAGGCTCCCCCCCGTGAGGTTCTATGTGGATGGAAGGTTGGTTTGAAACGATAAAATATTATTTCCCCAACCGGCAATAGCCATGTTGCAGTACCCGAACTCCGAACTGGGAGTCTTTTCCCTGCGCGAGAACGGAGCTCGGAAGGGCACGTGGTGGAAGTTTCGCGCGCCTTGTTTTTTTTGCTGATTGTGGTTGCCTTTGTGGGTAGTTTGTTTCCCGGTTGAAAAAGATATTGACAAGTCGCTTTGATCGTGGGGGCAGTGTAAGAGAGGCGGACGGAATGGCTACGTCTCTAATGTTAGGTTGCGAATAATAATGGGGAGTCAATACAAAAAAAAACAAAAACATTCACACCCCTGAAAAGCAAAAGGGGGAGTTAATACACAAAAGCTTTTGCGAGGGGCAAAAAATCCGGAAAAATGTTCCCCAACAATAAGTTTGATAATTAATCCCTAGTTCAGTGCAACTCCTCTGTCTCTCCTTGCCCCGCCCGCCCCCCCCAACCTACCACCACCACCCTACCTGTCCACCTTTGGTGTCTTGCCTGTCAGATGCAAGAAACAAGGAGATGATGATTGAAGTCCCTGAAAAGGAAGTTTAACTGAGGTCCCCAACAGCCAAATTCTTTATGACAGCCCTTACTAAAAGTTGCACCCTGCCAAATTTTCAAGGGGGTAGTACAGGGAACACCCAGGAAGCCAATAATGAGATTTGTTTAAGGGGAGTTAATTGAGAAAAAATTTTTAGGACTGGGGCCAGGGATGCCTGCAAGGAAAAGAGCCCAGAAAAGAAAGTTTCCTTTCCAAAGAACTACTGAGTCTCCCAAGAAAAGGAAGTTGAACTGAGGCCCCAACAGCCAAATTCTTTAGGACAGCCCTTACTAAGAGTTGCACCCTGCCAAATTTTTCAAGGGGGTAGTACAGGGAACACCCAGGAAGCCAATAATGAGATTTGTTTAAGGGGAGTTAATTGAGAAAAGTGTTTTAGGACTGGGGCCAGGGATGCCTGAAGGAAAAGGGCTTCCCTTTCCAAAGAACTACTGAGTCTCCCCAGAAAAGGAAGTTGCCTTTCCAAAGAACTACTGAACCAAACCAGAATACTAAACCAATACTAAACCAATTCTAAGCAGTACTAAGCCAGTCAGCAAGAATACTAAACCAATACTAAACCAATTCTAAACAGTACTAAGCCAGTCAACCAGAATACTAAACCAATACTAAACCAATTCTAAGCAGTACTAAGCCAGTCAGCAAGAATACTAAACCAATACTAAACCAATTCTAAGCAATACTTACTGGAATACTACTTAGGGAAGACCCTCTATTGACCCCCCCCATTTTGTTTGCGGGGGGGGCCTTTATTATTCACTCCCCAACATTACCAATGCCCATTTCCTGTCATATACCAACTTGCTTGCTCGTGGTGAAAAGGAAAGGTTGCATCCTAAATCAGGATGCATGGCTTGCTGATTTCCATTGCACGCCCGCCTTGGCTCACCGCCACCTGAAGGTTTGTTCTTTTTTGCGATGTGTTGTTCTGCTCATAGCACTGTTCCTGGAGCCCCAACCCCTCCCCACAATTTTCCTTGTTTGCCTATTTTGGTCGTTTCCAACCTGTGTTTGAGGGTGTGTCAAGCAAACAGAGGCTGCGTGAATTTGCAATTAGGAGCTGAAGATCCTCAAGGAGCTTCGGGAGCAGGAGAAGCGCATCCCCTTCAACCACAAGCTGGAGCAGATTCACATGCATGTCCCTTACACAGATACCCTAACTGGGGGCCTGGTTGCCAGCAGGGGTCAAAAGAGTTGGAGTCTGTCTTGACATTTGGGTGTGTCTTTTTTAGGGGACCCCAACAAGGGATGGTCTTCCTTCAAGTTTCCCTTTAAAACCACCAAAGAAGGAGTACCCTCAGAAAAGACGCAGATTCAGTGCCGCGTATACAGGGGTTTCAATTAGTGTAGCTTGGCGTGTTTTCCAATTTCTCAAACAACCTCTTCGAGGCCTACGCAAGCAGGGTCAAGGAGTCCTGAGGTGTACGCACGCACTCACGCACGCTTGTCGATGACAGCTTGTTTCATGAGTACTGGGTGCGTCTAATTTTGCTGGTGCCCCTTTTTGTGGTTGTTAAAGGAATACCAAAAGGAACAATCAAGTCTTCTTTTTTCTGGGGGCGGCGCAACAAAACAGAGAGAACCTCAAGATTGACCAAAGCTGAGCCACAGTACAGGACTTGCAGGAGCGTGTTGTTGGCCAATGTTGGCCAAGCATTTCTCGTGATGTTGAGCCGACCACCTACGCCCTCACACAATGCAAGGAGACCCGGAATCTGCCAAACTGCTTTATTGAAAGAGGGGTCAGTGATCGAGTATATGAATAGTTGTACCTGTTTCTGCAGATGGCTTGTTTGCACCCAGCTCGCTAACATGAAACCGATAGAGTGCCTGAAAGACGGTGTTCCTTTTGAGGGGACCTCCTGGCAGATTTCATGCTGGAAGGGCTGCTGTGATGTTTAAAGCCTTGCTTTGGCCTATGTAAGGATTCATTCTAATTCTTGGGGGTTTCAATGGCCAGTTAATGCTAATTATCAGGCACTCCTCAATTGGTGTTTGTGATTGGTCGCTGGTGGGGAACCACCAAACCAACCCAAGGGGTAAGCTGAAATCACCAGGTTGCCGGGGGCCATGGAACCTGACTCCTGACGGGATCGCCGGCGCGGGGTCTGGGGGGGGGGGGCTGCTTTCCAAGATCTACGTGTGCGACGAGTCCGGCCAGGGTCTTGCTTGCCCGGCGCCTTGGCATGGGCAAATCTGAGACAGGCGAGCATCAAGTGTGCCATGGTCAAAGCGTGTGCTCCATGGAGCAGTTGGTTCCTTTTGGTTTCCCTTCAAGGCCCAATTTGGGAGTCCACCATTTTAGGAAATTCCCAAAGACCTTGTTGCAAAAGGTTCGCCGGGATGGTTAGGGACCATATACTGCACGGTCCTAGACAACCAGAATAGTTAAGGATTCCTATTTGAAAGAGCCATGAATATGACCCACGTGCAATTTCAAGCCATAGATCATTCTGGCGTCACAAAAAGGCTGATATCCCACGGCGCATCGTTATGTTGGCCACCAAACTTTTGGTCGGCGCCGAAAAGAGAGGAAACCAGACACAAAGCAAACTCCCAGGCGCAGCCCACAGAGACGCTGCTGGTCCACGACGCAGCCCTTGCCTTTGATAGCTCCAAGACCTCCACCTTCGACGAGCTGGGTGACTTGATTTATGTGGGTTTTCACCTGGTGTTGGTATAGTTTGTTGTCTAGAAGTGATGACTCGGGGAGTTGCTCTGCCATATATTTAGCTGTTATTGTATGTATGAGTGAACTCTTCACTTATCTACTATGTTTGTTGCCAAAAAAGCGTGTTCTTTCAGTTCAACGCTTATTGTCTTTAGTTTTAACTCTGATGATTTCCAAAAATGCAAGTTGCGACTAGTTACTTGATTTCAAGTTAACTTTGGTTTTCCCATGTGCAACTTTTGCTTGTTCCAAACAGTTTTCGAACACAGACACACGCACATGCGTCATGTGCTCTATTATACTACACGGATTTTCTCTCGCGTGTTTTTAGCTGGCGCTTTGTCTAGAAGTCTAGCCTTTTGTTCCCCCGGAAGTTTGCGCTGGCAGATTGCAAATAGCCTGTGTTTAAGATTAGTAGCTGCTTGACGGGTCACAGTACGAGCCCTTGCTTTGTGTGCGTGAGCGTTTGTAGCAGCATGTAAGTTCAAAGCTTCAGGGCACAGTTCCTTGTGGCGATTCTTCCCTTCGGCCTAGGCCCTAGAATTTCACATAAGGGTTACTTTTATTGAGGGGAACAATAATGATATGTTATCGTACCGTTTGACCCTTTCCCCTCCAACCTGTAGCCCTTATTCGGCAGGTTTCCCAGCCCCAAGCCCAGCCCCGAGCAACCGTGGAGACAGCATTTCTCAATATGTGAAGCCCCGAACGCATATTGTTTAATAAGCAGCCAGAGAGATGTAACGGAAAAATGCAAATGTCAGCGCGCAAAGAGTGGCAAGGCTGAGTTGAAAAGAGGAGCTAAGTTGAACTCGTGCAAGAGAAAGGAGCCTTGACAGAAATCAGGACTTCTGCCACAAATAAGCATTCACGTTTAGAGTGTTTGGAACAACGTAACGAATCAACGAAAGTTGGACACAAACACACACACATACATGAACAGGAAAGAGCTGAATGGTAGTTTAAAGTCGAACAACTATGCAATCAACGGCTGTGGAAACTATAAAAGCCAAATGTGGAGACATACTGACCGACATTGAAACCAATGAGAGCTATTATTGGCAAAGCAGTTTAAGTTCGGACACGTACAAGGTCGTGGTGGAATCACACATGTACCGTGAACCGGTGTTTGTATTTTTGTTTTTAAGTAGCCCCGGCTCAGGGCTCAACCCAGGCTAGGGGGTGGCTGGTTGGTTGGTTGGTTGGTTGGTTGGTTGGTTGGTTGGTTGGTTGGTTGGTTGGTTGGTTGGTTGGTTGGTTGGTTGGTTTGTCGGCTGGGCGGCCGCATCTCCAGGTTGTTTGGCATCAGAGCTGCGTATTGGGCGTGATTTGGCGTTAGTTGAGAGTTGCTCGGTTTTAAACGGCCGCATCCCCGTCCCCAGTATCACTGCCTCTCTCGCACCAGGGCTGCCTATTGGCTTTACGATCTGGTGGCTTGCTCGCGGCTGGTTTGGGGTGAGTGTTGGGCTTGCTGTCTTAATGAGGTCGTGTCTTGGGTTTCTTTGGGTTGACTTCGAGTCAGTTCTATTCGCTAGCTGCCACAGCCTTGAGCCTGTGTATTGCTTGAAAGCGTTTACCTCCGATTGCCACAAGGCGCACACCGATGCTTGCTTGCTTGCTTGCTTGCTTGGTTGCTTGCTTGCTTGCTTGGTTGGTTGGTTGCTTGCTTGGTTGCTTGGTTGGTTGGTTTCTCTGTTTGTTTGTTTTTTTTGGTGTGTGTGTGTGTGTGTTTGTTAATTTGTTAGTTACTTTGCTTGTTTGTGTGAATGTGTGCATGCCGCCAATGTTTAGAACGTTCTGTTAGTAGGTGTCTTCATCATTTCGGCTAAGGCATGCCAAGGCCCAACAAATTTGAACCGACGTTTTGGCAGTCAACTCCGCAGGACTAAGTGTGTTTCATGTGTTGGGGACCCGACTTCGTTTTGAAAGCCTGTCAGATCAGCAGGGATGGACGTGGCCAACAACATCCATTGCGCTGGCCCGAATTAATCAACACTTGAGGAACCCATCAAAACTGGGCCGCCCATTACCGTTCAATCTGAAAGGGCTCATGCATGACTCACTCGGTGTTTGTCGTGTTTGACTTTGTTGGTACCGGGGTGGAACGTTGGGTTTTTGCCACTGCGAGGCAAGCACTCTGGAATGTGCACCTACGGTCCGTGCATGACACATTCAGGCCTGTGATGCGACCTGTGCTCAGCGTTTGTTTTGTGTGTGCGTGCGTGCGTGCGTGCGTGCGTGCGTGCGTGCGTGCGTGCGTGCGTGGGTGGGTGGGTGGGTGGGTGTGTGTGTGTGTGTGTCTGTGTCTGTGTCTGTGTCTGTGTCTGTGTCTGTGTCTGTGTCTGTGTCTGTGTCTGTGTCTGTGTCTGTGTCTGTGTCTGTGTCTGTGTCTGTGTCTGTGTCTGTGTCTGTGTCTGTGTCTGTGTCTGTGTCTGTGTCTGTGTCTGTGTCTGTGTCTGTGTCTGTGTGTGTCTGTGTCTGTGTCTGTGTGTGTGTGTCTTGTGTGTGTGTGTGTGTGTGTCTGTGTGTGTGTGTGTGTCTGTGTGTGTGTGCGTGCATGCGTGCGTGCGTGCGTGCGTGCGTGTGTGTGTGTGTTGTGTGTGTTTGTGTGTGTGTTTGTGTGTGTTTGTGTGTGTGTGTGTGTGTTTGTGCTTGTGTGTGCTTGTGTGTGTGTTTGTCTCTGTCTCTGTCTCTGTCTCTGTCTCTGTCTCTGTCTCTGTTTGTGTCTGTGTCCGTGTCCGTGTCCGTGTCCGTGTCCGTGTCCGTGTCTGTGTCTGTGTCTGTGTCTGTGTCTGTGTCTGCGTGTGCGTGTGGGTGTGCGTGTGGGTGCTCTGTGTTTGTGATTCAGCACGATCAGCGATGCAGTAAGCGGAAGCTAGAATGAAGGAACAAATTCCCCGAACAACGATGCAGTTCGCGAAAGCTAGAATGAGGAAAGCAATCCCCCTCAAAGTGAAGCATTAGGGTTGTAGCTTGAAGTTTAAAGGTCCTTTTTTTCACTTGTCTTCCTGATGCTCCTGCTTAGTTTGCTGTGCCTCTCAGTGTCTCCCTTGTCTCCCAGCCTTTCCAGTCAGATGTCAGATGCTGTGACGGCGGCTGCGGGATCGTGTCTCCCGCTTGTGCTGTGTCTCCAGTCTCCGGTCAGATGCCAGATGCTGTGACGGCGGCTCGCGGGTCGTGTCTCAGAATGGGAAAGTGTGACGCTGGCTGCCTGGTCCTTTTTTTTCACTTGTCTTCCTGTTTCCCAGTTTCTCCGGTCAGATGCCAGATTCTCCTGCTTGGTTTGCTCCCTTGTCTCCCAGTCGTTCCAGTCAGATGTCAGATGCAGTGATCCAGGGTCGTGTCTCAAAATTGGAAAGTGTGACGCTGGCTGCCTGGTCCTTTTTTTCACTTGTCTTCCTGTTTCCCAGTTTCTTCCGTAAGATGCCAGATTCTCCTGCTGGGTTTGCTGTGTCTCCCAGTGTCTCCCTTGTCTCCCAGTCTTTCCAGTCAGATGTCAGATGTTGTGACGGCGGCTCCGGGATCGTGTCTCCCGCTTGTCCTGTGTCTCCAGTCTCCGGTCAGATGCCAGATGCTGTGACGGCGGCCCCGGGTTCGTGTCTCAGAATGGGAAAGTGTGACGCTGGCTGCCTGGTCCTTTTTTTTCTCACCTGTTTTCCTGTCTCCCAGTTTCTCCGGTCAGATGCCAGATGCTCCTGCTTGGTTTGCTGTGTCTCTCAGTGTCTCCCTTGTCTCTCTCCAGTCTCCGGTCAGATGCCAGATGCTGTGACGGCGGCTCGCGGGTCGTGTCTCAGAATGGGAAAGTGTGGCGCTGGCTGCCTGATCGTGTTTTTTCGCTTGTATTCCTGTCTCCCAGGTTCTCCGGTCAGGCAGATGCCGGATGATGCGACGCGTTCTCCCAGTCTGTCCGGTCGGATGCCAGAAGCTGGGGTCGTGTTTAGATGCCAGACGTTGCGACCCTGTCTTCCACGCTTGTCTCCCTGTGTTGTTCAGTCTCTCCGGTTACTCGGCTCCGGGGTCGTGTCTCCCGGTTGTCTTCTCCTTTGTTGTTTTCTCTGGTCCTGTGTCGTGTCTCCTGCTTTTCTCCCTGTGTCTCCCAATCCCTCCGGTCACATGCCAGATGCTGGTTTTGGGGCTTATCTTGCTTGCCAGGCACGCCGCATTTTCCTGCTTACATCCTTCAACACCAACTGAACCTGCTTCTTCTTCTGCAAGTTTTGAGGCTAACCCTGCTTGCTTGGCACGCCTGCAACAGGGGCAGGTTGCGTGTGCCACGCCTGGATCGTTATCCAGTGTTGTCTTTTGCAGCTTGGGGTTGGTGTAATTTGATGTGATGCGAGTGAATGAGTTGAGGCAATTTGCAGCTTACACGGCCAAAGTTGGGCATGGTTGCTCCAAGCCTTTGACGACCAAACCACCGACACTTCTTTTGGGGTTCCTTCTCTTGGCATTGTGTTCTTTTTTGGGTCTTGTTTCCGAGCGGGTGCCCGTTGCCGCGTCAAGTGGCAGGCATGCGAATGGGCAAGGAGAACCACGTCATGACATGGACCATGTGCTGCGCCGCCACGATTTAAATCGTGTTTTTTGGGGGGGTCTGACTAAGGGTTCAGTTCGACCCCAGGAGGTCTCCATTTATGGCAATTCATGTTCTCCCATGCTCTTAGGAACAAGTTTCATTTCCCCAGCTGGTTTTGAACACATGTGTTTGCCTCAAACACCTAAACAATTGGGAAGTGTTCATTGTGCAAAGTTGGTCTTAGCCCTCCAAGGTGATCACCCCAAAAGTAGAAGATAGGTTTGTTTTCTTTTGGCTTTCCTTTCAGTTTCTCACTCGTCTACCCTCTTGCCAGGGATTTCGCAGCACTGATGGGGACGACTAGATGACTTGATACGTGGACCTGGGGTATTTGCCGAGCCTTCTTGGCCGTGCGCTCAGAGAGCGCGCGGCTCAACCGCGCACTCTTTGGGCGCATAGAGCCGATGGGCAAACCACGGGTTGGTAGGGACAGTCACCAACCCTTTGGGAATCATGACTGTCCCCAAATTGCCTAATTTCCAGGTATGAGGAGTAAATTCTGACCCCGAAAACAAAGCAACCCCGTAAAAGTATTCGGTCCCTCCCTGTTTGTTAGACTACCGTGTTTTGTTTATGTGCTTGTGACAAGCGCCTTCTGCTCTTGGCAGACCTTGAGAACGGCTCAGTTGTTCAAAGCGAATCGACCTTTTGACCTCATGGTCTTCACATGGCCCGTGGCCCATGTTTAGGTCCCACAAGGTGATCACGTTGCATTTCTGGGGTCCAAGGTGAGCAGCTGAGTTGGCTACTCAGATCTCGTAAGCGTCCATTTGATTCAGAACATGTTTCACGTCCATTCATTTCCCTTTGTTGGTTTAAAGGTAAGTCTTTGTTTTCAGGGGACGTATCCGCAAATGGAGTCATCGGGGACGTATCCGTCTCGCTTCCGGATGCCAGGCACGGGATGCACGGAAGCGAGATGCGGCTCCGCGAGCCGCGCGTCTCCGCGATCAAGTGACCCCGCGCCCAGTGGGGAGTTCAACTGTCTGGTGGATGCTTGGGCTGAGAGGCGGGTGGCTTGTGGGAACCACAGATCAATAAACCCCTGGTTGATCAATAGGGGGGTCCCCTTTTGTAGGGATTCATCACTTGGAGATGAAGACCCCCTTATTTGGATTGGATTGTCAATCCGGGGTCGTGGCCGTGTTGCAATCTCCAAAAACTATTTAGACTAGATATGAATCAGAATCTGGAACATATGACTTTCTGCATACCCCGGCTGAGGGCCAAGGGTGGCTTGTGGGATATAGTGGTACAACTCAGGCTAGATTCTGGGGAGAGGCGGCTTTGCCTTTTTCGTGATTGCTGCTTCCTGACCGGGCCCAAAGGGGAAATCTTCAGCAAAACCAACCCTGAGACCGGGAGTACGGAGCACAAAGGGAGTTTGTGGGAGGAGTTGTTACCATAGATGCCATAGATGTCCTTGTTGTGTTGGGAGTGGCATAGCCTTTAGGTTTAGTTCTTGGGCCCGGATGCGTGGAGGCCCATCTTTCTACAGGTAAACTTGCAGAAGGGGACCCCATTGGGGGCTGCGTTTTTCAGATTCCTGGGGGGCTGCGTTGTTAATCAAAAGCAACAAAAACATAACACAAACCCATCATCGTCATCTGCTCGCTCAAGGCATGGGGTTTGTGGCTTTTTTTTGTGTTGGGGGGGGCTAAAAACCCAACAAACTTTAAACAAATAAGCCCATCATCTTCATCTGCTCGTTCGAGAGCCGTTTTTTCTTATTTTCTTTGGTTTTGTTTTTGTGTGTTGTTTTTTGTTCGTTTAGGCTAAAAACTAAAAAGCCAAAGAAACGACAACAAGCACATCATCTTTGTCTGCTCGTTCGAGACTTGGGGTTGGTTAGAATTAGCCTTTTAAATATAATCATTCCAATTCAAATTCGTTTTAAACAAAGAAGGTGTGTGATGATTGGATCCATTCCTTATCAAAGGATGCTTAAACTCTAATTTCATTGAACAGTTCTATTGGGAAAGGATCTCCGTCAGAATTCTAATCATGCATTTCCTCGATGAGTCTCAATCAAATCCTATTCATTTCAAACTGAAATTTAAAGAGCGGCTGTTGGTGGAGATGTGAATTGAGCATGAACACGCTCACTGTGGTTCATGGTGTTTTCTGACCAAGGAGTGCTGGGGCTAGTAAACAAAAAGACACGATTTCGGGACCTGAATTCTGTCCTTACGACTTTATAATTTTGTCAAATTCTACTCAATGTCTGACTGAAAGTAGACAGACATTTATAAGGACAGACTCCAATCAGAGTTTGAATACTGATAATTATACTTCAAAATGAATGTTACACAGGAACATGTAATCAATATTGCGGGACCGCTACTTTCTTTGCTTATGAATGCTACTTAATATATTTGTCAAGTTCTACCTAATTTATATCTCACGTTAAATGGCATTTAATAAGGACAGAATCCAATGATTTTTGTTATTTTGAGATATTGGATTGACCCAAAAATCGCCTGTTGTTCACACTTGAGGCAATCGGCGGGAAGAGGGGATAGGATTATTTATTTGCTCAGGGCTATTCAAGCCCAGCAGCCAACCACGTTTCATTTTAAAGGTGAGGTTCTTTTTGGTCACACACATAATTTTGCTTGGTAGCTTCTCTTACTCATAAGCTTCGTCCTGAAGGATTTCGTCCACTTGGCCCAAATTGGAGCACCGCAAATATGTTGAGATTCTGGTTGGTTTCCTTTTAAAACCATCCAAGAAGGGTTCCCAAACACAAGTCCCAGATCCATGTAGGTTCTATTGGGTACTTGGCCCCCCAAAACGCCCTCTACTAAACACTCATTTAGATTGTATATGTGCAGTACACCAAGCAAGACATGTATTTTCAGATGGTCCATATGTTTCTACTTCGAAATGTATTTTCCCAGGCGCCGACTCGAACGCCTCGAGCCAAGGAGCGTGCTTACACCTCCACTGGGCACGTGGACTTGATGTCCCGTAAGCCGGGCACCGGCGGCACGGAGGGCTCAGGCTTCCTCTTCCGAGGAGCGGATGTTCGTGATCAAAGGATTCGAACCACGGTAGGTGATTTACCAACCAACTTGTACAATTGCTGTTACGTTAAACGTGTTACAGGGTTACGTAGTGCTTTACAGGGTTTCATAGTGTTTTAAAGAGTTTCATGGTGTTTCATGGGGCTTCATAGGATTTCATCCGTCCCACGTGGTGAATTCTGTCCACAGTGTGGGCAATGGAAACAACATTACTGGTCTGTTCATGATCCCCCAATGTTCGCACCAAGAATGGTGGAGAGGCTGTACTCAGCAGTTCCTGGGGACCAGCGAACCAGCCGGTTGCATGTACAGGCGAATGCCAGCCATGCCCAATATTGTCCATGCATTTAGGGACCCGAAATGCTGCATAGCGAATTCGTTGGGGATTCACGTCCACCATTGTTTTTCAGCTGGTTCCCCTTCACTTAACTGACTTCACTTACCTTTTTTGTGACTGTTTGCCTTTTGGTGTTCCAGCCTTCCTTGCAGAAGGAAGAAACACATGTTCTTGGAAATCTTGAGTTAAAAGTGGCCCTTGGCCCAACCCCTGGGCCCCTGGGCAAACAAGAAGGCATATGATTGAGCTCTGTTCCATGTTTCAATCCATCAATATATATATATATATATGCTCAGCCCCCCCCCATGATCCAGGTTTTCAGTTTGGCAGGTACGAAACTGAATGCCTGGATCATGGGTAGGGGGGCCCCCCACAAGAGTTAGGGATGTCAATCTGCTGCTAACTGTAAACACGTTCCTTGCAGCGCTTCTGGCTTCAGCTGGTTCAACCTGTTCCTGCACCCGCATCTGTTTGCTTCACCTAATGGCATCTGAAGCTCCTCAGCGAGCACAATCCCTGGCGAGGTCCTTCGACGAGGGCAACCTGGACGGAGCTTGCACTCTGGATTGAAGATCATCACCCTTGAGAAACCTATCATCGTGAACAAGGAGCCGGGCTCTATCAAGTTTGGCGACCTACCGGCAAAGATGACCATCGATGAGGGCCTCAGGAAGAAGGTGCAGTTCATCGAGGTTGTGGCTGACCACGAGGGCCCGATTGATCTCAAGCACATCGAGACCCTTTTCCTCCAACAGAGGTCTGCCGACCTCCCACCTCCCATCTCCATGAAGGGCAACTTCCAAGCCCCATACAACACGCAGCTGTTCATCATTCCGAAAGACGGGGGCAAGTCTGATATCATCAAGCGCATCAAATTTCTCGACGGGACCAAGGTCATTCACAACACCATCCGGGCTATGTGTCATGGAATCCCGTTGGAGATCGACTTGCGTGGCAAGTTCCGTGAGGGTGGGCGAGGCTTGCAATACCTGCTCGAGGGAATGGGTGGCTTTCAGGTCCGCTACCACAAGATTGTGCTGGCTCTGCGTCCAGCAAGCCCTCCCGTGAGACTGAGGACATCAGGAAGGGATTCGACTACATTTGCAAGCACGGGCCTGAGGAGAATGGGGACGGCCAGTTCACTTCCTGGACGGAAGAGCAGGTGAACGACCCTCATCGTCCCTATACAAATGGGAGCGCTGTTTGGCAGACCAGGGCTGCCAAGCAAACACTATCGAAGACTGGCCCCTCACCTTCCGCAGCATCACCCCGTGGGCATTGAACACAGTGATTGCGCCGATTCTCCTCCACATCCTGTCGCATGCGGAAGTCCCAAGTCGGCAAGAGTCATGGGTCATACACTCTCTCGTCCGTGGTGTCAGCGTACTGGATGCTGCAGGAGGAGAAGGAGGGAGCTCCGGCCTTCCAGACCTGCAACCACTTGGACTACTTCCGCAAGGAGAAGGGTCGGAGAACTAAGCCGAGGATGTTTGATGATGGCAATCTCAACCTCGAGCACCCTGCCTCCGTGAAGGCCGTGACAGAAGTGGACGGCATAGACAGGAAGACGATGGCAAGGGACAACGCCTCATCGTACGCCAAGAACCAGCTCTGTCAGATCTGCAGCAATCCGTGTGGCCGTATATATATATATATATATTTATATATATATATATATATATATATTTTGAGAATATAAAACAGTGTTTACTTGTTTGTTTCACTAAAAGGGTTGTCATTTGTTCTACACGCGCAAAGCCGGAAACATGAGCGGTGCTTGGGCCTTTGCGCTTGGGAGTGCGCCAAAGTTTCCAACCACCCGACCTGTTTGTTTGACCCCTTTCGCCTTTGTTTCAACGGTCAAAGCCAACAGGTTGGCGGAAAGCAAGATTCCCACAGCATGGAGGGTGTCAAAATGTTAAGCCTCTTGGTGTCCCCTGTAAACCGCACAGATCGGCGCCGTTTCGCCGAAACGGGTCCAAAAGCGGGCCGTTTGACGACCCAACGATCACTGCCGGGCGGCAAAGATGCGCAGCTTGTAGCCGGCAAGTCAAAGCCCTGGTGTAGGCTAGGGCTATACCTTTCATCCCCGTTCAATACGTTTTGAAGAGGTTGGCTTGACGCTCACCTGTCGTTCCATCCTTCAAATCTGAATCGGTTTGAGTCAGTCGGTCTCAGTCAACAGCGTTACAGGACGCGCCTCCAAGGGCCACGTGACCGGGCACATCAACTGGCACCTTTCGGTGCCGGAGCTGGAGGATTAACGGATTCAAGAGAACTCGGCCGATTTCTGGGGTAGTAAGCTGGTGTTGTGGTTTTAGAAGTCTGGTGTAAAGCCGCAGTGGTGGGCCCTTGAACCTTTTTTGATTTGGTTTGATTTCTCCCATCGGAATGAATTCTTGGTGGAAAGCCCATGCCGGGCATCCTTCTGGTCGAAACTCTGGTCACTCAGGGTTCCCTGTATTTCCCTTGATTGGCAAATTTAAACAGAGTCTCCCTTCATCTGCTTTCGGGTGATGCTTAAAGGGGAAACACAGGGAACCTTCAAGCCACCCAACCACCGCTCAGGTGCCCCGAGCCGGACATTGCGAGCCTTTCTTGCAAGACGTGGCGTATGTGGGCATCGGCGTGGATGAGTGCGACAAGTGCCTCGGGAAAGACAAATAGCTGGAAGACAGGGATAGGCGTGTGGATCAGGTGGTCAAACCTATCTCCTCCAAAGCTATTCTATTCGAGGGTAGCTAAATATGGCCTGGGCCAAGCTGAGTAGAACTCCAACCGCTAAAGAGATTTCATTAGCCGTCGCTGACTTTTGGGCTTGCTGGTGTTGAGATGGATCTACATCTCGCTGATCGTGCTCACTGAAGTGTCAAGCTCGTGTTCGCCTGCTCTTGTCCGAAGCCAAGTCGGCTACAATGCTTTCTTTGCCTTACATGGACTCCCCACCTGCTGCTTAAGATGACTTTTTGTGTGCAGGACTTTGCGCAAGTCAAAGCTCGTGTACCGGACTGGATTTGGGTGAGACAGATGGGTGTCATGTAGTTGTTGTTTTTGATTTGGGTGTGTGTGTGTTTGAAGGGAAACCCAAAAGGAAAAACACAATTGTTGCGGGTCCCCGAAAACCTGATCGAAGCCACGAGCCCAAATGCAAATCAATTGCCCAAAGCTACCGTTGTGCGTGTGTGCGTGTTTGCCTATCCATGTATTTACCTGTTTGCTGACATGTTGATGTTTCTATCTATCCATCTGCCTGCTTGTTCGTTCGTGAATCTATGTGTGCATCTATGTATCGACATCTATCTGTATATGTGTCTAGCCATTAGTCCATCTGCACATGTATGCATCTATCAAACTATCTATATTTTTTATCTACCTGCCTAATCCTGCCTACTTAACTATCTATCGATCTGCCTGTTTAAATTAAACTAACCTGTTCTAATCCAAGCTATTCCAACCCAATCTAATGCGATCCGTCCTATCTATCCATCTATCTATCTATCGATCCATCTATCCAAGCATTTACTACTCCTATCTATCTATCTATCTATCTATCTAGATATCTATCTATCGATCCATCTATCCAACCATCTACCACTCCTATCTATTAAGCTAATCTAATAGAATCTAGTCTATTCTAATCCATATATCAACGTATCGATCTTTCTATCGCGTCCTATCTATCTAATCTCATCTAGTCCAATATATGTATCTATCCCTATCTATCTTTCTAGCATAATATATTCTATTCTAAGATATTATCTATATTCTAACCAATTTCTAGTCTTCTATTTGTCTACCCATCTATCTATCTATCTGTCTGTCTATATTTTGTCCATCAAGGCTCCTTCGAGTTGTGCTCCAAAGTGCCAACACGACCCTACAGAATATTGCGCCAGCCACGAAATCAGCACTCTGTGCTCCAAAGTCCTGCGCCTGCCGCGCAAATCAGCGTGTCTGGTGAGACGTCCTCCAAAGTGCTGCGCCTGCCACGGAATTTATCGTGCTACCGCGCTTGCAACGAAATTCGATCACAGCTTCAAAGTGCTGCGCCTGTCCCGAAATCCAACTGACACGTTTAGGACGTTTGTCAGAAGTTTAGCACGGGACCGCGGCGCCAGAATGACTGCAACCGATTTCAATAAACTTTCAGCTTGCCAAAACGAGCCCTGCGTACGACTCGACAGGCCCAACAAAACTGACACGGGCAAACGCTTGCAAGCTTGCCGAGCAAGACACCTCAAAATGACCACCTCGGCGCAAACCGCAATGGCACCGCAACGCAAACACGCAACCTTCCAAAACACTGCGCCTGCGTAGCAAAACGACACGCAGTGCCGCAAAACCTTGGGTTTATTTGGGCACATGCGCAACGCAAACAACGTATTGCAAGTGCCAGTCATGCACTCACACATTTGAGCCTTCCCAAACGGCGCTGCAACTTTCGCCACCTGCGAACGCTGGCGACTGGCGACTGCTTGCAGACGCGGACGCAGCGACACCTCATGCTGACACTCATGCCCCTTTCTAGAACGGGATCCCTTCTGCTACGCACTCGGAAAAAACACGCCCAAATTTGTTGGCTGTGCCCCCATTTTGCAAAATCCATAAATCTGACAAGGTAATGTCTACCTCTGGTTAATAAATTGCCACCCCCCCCCCCTCCCCCCCAAACAACTTCCCTCCTCAAGTAGCTCTCCCATTACGAATTGCTAAGTATTGCTCACAGATTTGTTGTGTTTCAATAGATTTGTTGTGTTTCAATAGACTTAGTATTGCTGGAGCCTCCTTTTGAGAGTGGATTCGGTTTCCAGTTGGTTTAGTAATGGTGGATTTGAGTTTGCAGTTGATCTGGGGCCTCCTTTTGAGATTTGACTTGAGGGGTTTGAGTTTCCAATTGGTTTAGTGTTGCTGTTGCTGGAGCCTCCTTTTGACATTTGGCTTGAGGGATTTCAGCTTCCAATTGATTTAGTATTGCTGGTGGCATATTTTTGGGGGTTTGGCAACCAGGAATCTTTAGTTAGGGGGGCCCCTACATCATGTTTTTTCAACCCCCGAGTACTACCCCCCTTGTGGGGTTGATTGGGGGCCACTTTTTAAACAAGAGTGCAAATCATTCGCAGTTTGGGAGCTGGGACTGTTGTTGGGATTGCAAGAGCTGAATGATTGAAATCATAGGGAGCAAGCTTCAAGGGAAACCTTTTAAAGATTGAGCCTTTTACTAAGAAAGCCTTTTCAAACACGAGTTGGGATATTTTTCCAGGGGGGGCGACCAGGAATCTTTTTTGAGGGGGGTTCCCTAAATAAAGGTGCCTTTTAAACCCCAAGTGTAGGGTTGATGTGGGGCCACTTTTTAAACAAGAGTATGTAAAGAATTTGCAGTTTGGGAGCTGGAAGTTTTTGGAGATCTGAAATTTTAAGGCAGGCGAGGCAGATACTGACCAATCAGACCAGCCAGTGGGAGAGGTTGAGATGATTAGGGTGTGTGTGTGTGTGTCTTGTTTGGTGTGTGTTTTTGTGAGTGTGTGTGGATTCCCCGCCAAAAGAAGAAGCAACAACATAACTTTATTTTTAGTATTGCCAAGGCTGACTCTCAGATTCCCAGTATATACTTACTTTAGCATTTCCATTTCCACTTTAGTATTGTTAAGGCCCGTTTTTTCAGCAGGGGAAAACGTAACAAAGAACCAGTTCTGCAATCTCACGCACATGAAGGAGTTTTAGTAGTTTTAGATTCTCACTCTTCCCAGCTCAAAGAGTGAAGGCCTTGGATCACGAAAGTCCATTTCGCCAGTGGTCGCCAAACCATCAAATTTAAGATGACTTCTTTACAAAGAAGTAAGGGCAAACAATCACACTAAGGGGGTTGCCCACAAGTGGCCCTGATCCTCTTTAATGTGACTGTTTGGGGTCCTCTTTAGTGTCAAACTTGTTTGGGGGTGCCCGGAATTACCCGCAAACGCCCGCAAAACCCCGCAAACGCCCGCTATGTCCAACACACCCAAAACTACCAGGAAACCAAAACGCCGACTAGGAAAAGGCTGGAGAATGAATCTTCAGGTTACTTTTTTGTAAAGAAGTTATCTTACATCACGTCCAAAAATAATTTCCCTATGTTTGCCCGGATTTGTTTGCCCGCTTGTTTGTCTGACTTGTTTTTGCCAGGTGATGCCAGGTGCTTTTGCCCGCATTTTTTCCGGCAAAAACTTGTCACTATTGAGGACCCCAAAAGAGTCACAGGATCCTGAATTACGAAAACAACTTTTCACAATACAGGCTTCTGGCATGAAAGCGTGTCCAACAGTAATGTTCACAGTATTCCCTTAATTTCCCCTCGGCGTGGCTTGAAGCATCTGTTTTTAGGCGAGTTTCGTTCAGGGAAAATAGGGCCGTTGTTTGGGGGGGACACTCAAACTGGCTTATATAAATGGTAATGTATGGCCTCACTCTTATCGGGAGCTGGGCAGCTAAACTCCTACTAGTAAATGGGTGCTTTTCCGATTCTTGAGAAAGCGCCACTTCAAAATCAAGGTGGGGGGGGGTTGCCTCTTTGTATGGGACCCCCCTAGCCAGTGGTACGCCACCCAGAAAGAGTTCCCTGAAAAAAGGAACCACGCCCAAGCAACAACCTTAGAACTCCATGTTTGGGACCCGACTAGCTCTCAGGTGCCCCAACGGGGAGGTGGACGTGGACATCGGCATGGTGTTGCTGAACTGCCCTGATGGCAACACCAAAGGCCTAGGCGGCGCGATCCCCTCCCAATGCGCCTAGGCCTCGCGAATTCGAACCATGTGCGAGGGAAAGGAAGACCGAAATCCACTGTGGGGTCCAAAATCCAGATTTTGACGCATTGTAAAGAAGCAGCACTGGATCCCAGCACGCACACCTGTAAGTCATGCTCAGCCTATGCGTTTCCGATCTGCATTTGAAGTCGCATGGCTGTTCTGTTCTTGTTGCAACCTGTCAAATTCATGCGCAGCTCCGATGTATTAAAGCTAGTGTCACGCCCAAACCGTCTTAGGGTCCCCTTGCTGCGGGGTTTCTGTGGTTTCTTCCTATTGAGCATCAGCCTAAGGATTTGAAAGGAGGCCGCCACCCTAATAAACGAATACACTGCGAAATGCAGAACAAAAAAGTGTTGGTTTGCCTTAGTATCGCAATGAAAACGATTTAAAGGGGGGGATCCTCACGTCCTGAAGTCATTCGCGCATAATTGCCGCCGAGGCAAATATGTGGACCACCAGAATTTTGCGCACAAGGAGCGCCTGAAATGAGGGCTGGGAGCGTCTGAGTGTCCTTGGGTACAGGGTTCCAGGGGTTTCAATTTGGTTCCAAATAAATCAGTTTAGACAGCGATGGTTTGGCTCAGTTCCAAGCACCGTCGATTTGTCCAAAAGGCCACATGGCTGGGTTCGATGGCTTGGAACCTTCTGGAATCAGCGTTGGTTCGCCTTGCATCCAACTGACCAAGTCCCAGCCAGCCAGTGTGTCCTGTTTGGTTCCCAAGGGGGACCAAGTGATATCCCCAACAGCACGGATCCCTTTCAGAACCTTGACCCCCCGCTTCGAACCTCGCATCCTATGTGGGCAAGGGGCCCCTAAGCTTGCAGCTGTGGAAAGTCTAAGCAAACAACTTTTAGTCAAGACCTTGGGCCGGTGGATGCTGTGTCTACGGAGTGCTGACGCATGTTGAAGCTCGGCAAAACACCTTTTCCATTTCAAGGGGAAAGCAGGCTTTCTTCATGAAAGGATGGCCTGAATCACGTTTGGGTTGCCGATTCAAAGTTAATGTCCTTTTGGCAGGGTGCTGTTGTTGGGAAGAGTGGATTTCACACAGGCATCACCCATTAAGCTTTTAAATGAGGGGCAGGACTCTACACTGAATATGCTTCAAATTTTCAGGCCCACATTGATGAGCCTGGCAGCCAGGGTGCGCAGCTGGCTTCCGTCTTCAATTACCTTCACACGCACCTGAAGATTCCCAAAAACTGGCGCTAGGTCATACCGAAACCAGTTTGAAGGGGGTGCTGGAACCCTGTAGGTGTCCTTTTTAGTCTGCGCTTTCATACTAATACAGGGCGAAGGCTGCCTTGAGTTTAATGGAAGCATGGTGCAGTAGTTTAAGGGTTTGTAGAGGTCACAATTGCCCGCTGTAGCTCCCTCCGAGTCGCCGGGTGGTCCCGCAATCATTCCGGGGCCCGAAACCGGATCCCGGATCCGGGTCCCGGGGTCCCGGATCTTTCCCGTCCCGGATTGCTGGATTGCTCAAATCCAGGTCCCGGATCCGGGTCCCGGATCTGGGTCCCGTCCCGGGGGCTGGGTCCTAGCCCGGGTCCCGTCCCAGGTTGATCCAGGTCCCGGATCTGGGTCCCGTCCCCCGGCATCTACACTGGCTGGCAGAAACATTGCAGGTTGCCTACTTGCGGTCTCTGCGCCATGATACGGGGTGTGCAGGGAGAACTTGCAAGCCAGAGATCTCCGAACCGCAGCGGCTCTTGCCCGCCTTGCCTCATTGCGCGGCCCATAACGTTAGCAGAGCCACAACAAATTGTTGCGGTTCGCTTTTGTGCCTGGCGCTGCACATTTCGATTAGAGCACCCCTTGCTGCGGCCCGTGGTTTCCTCCAAGCTGCTTGCCTCAGCTGCAACAACCTGCGGCCAGATGTAGTTCGACTGCCTTCGCAGTTCGCTGTATGCCTCGACCAAGGTATTCGCTTTACTCTCTTGCCATCTCCATGGCCATAAAA